GCCCCTCTTCAGCCAACTAAAATATTAAAAAAGGATACAACACATATATAGAAAAAATACACAAGTTTTGTAAAGTTTATAAAATTATCGTGGTCGAAAACATACCTATGCATACAAGTTTTATAAATTAAAGTGACATCAGCTTATTCTTAATACTTTCAGCCAACTAAAACATTAAAAGAGTATACAATACATATATATAAAATTATACACAAGTTTTATAATTTCTGCAAAACTTGTGTATAATTTTATATATATGTATTGTATACTCTTTTAATGTTTTAGTTGGCTGAAAGTATTAAGAATAAGCTGATGTCACTTTAATTTATAAAACTTGTATGCATATGTATGTTTTCGACCACGATAATTTTATAAACTTTACAAAACTTGTGTATTTTTTCTATATATGTGTTGTATCCTTTTTTAATATTTTAGTTGGCTGAAGAGGGGCTTAGAAGCCCAAAACATGTAAATTTTTCACACATATCAACTAAATAAAGATGAAAAAAACCGCCAAGTGTCTTAATTCATAGCACTTTATTGTGTCAGAAGCAGAAACAAATTTCAAAGCAAGGTTTCATATCATTAAAAGAAAACAGAAGTTATAATACTGAAACGGCGTAAATCATCAAATTGAAAGAAAACAAATTTTCTATTAAAAATAATGGCATGTGGAACAGCTGGAAAAGTAGAAATTGCTTACCTTTTGTAACAAGAGCATAAAATAAACATAAGCAAGTTAGACTTTTACTCATATGCAATAATGTAGCTTCTATAACTGACCATTATGTTTCTTTCAAAACAACATTCTAGCATTTGAATAAATGTTTCTGTTTGAAATGTCATTAGATAATTTTTTTTGTTCAGAAACTTTGGCAGAAACTTCTTTTATGAAAATAGCATATGGCATGAAAGAATGAGTTTTGATGCAAAACTATTTCATAACATGGCATTAAATAAAATTTTGCAACAAAACTCAGTGTCAGCAATCACCTTGTTGCTTTTTGCTACATGCTACATATTTAATGTCCCTCATAAATATATAAAATGATGTATTAATTTCTACAGTCAATGAATGTTTATAAACTTGTAACATGTGAAATAAAATTTTAATAATTTATTATTTATGACTAATAAATTGTTCAAATAATTTGAAAAGCTGATGTTGTTTTACAGTAGTAACCTTGAAATTTGAACAAATGTAACAATATGAAATGAACAATACAAGTATAGATTTACAAACCAACCTAGCATAAAAAAACATGAAATATTTTACATAAATTGAGATGCAAATTTTATTAGCGTTATAATATCGGTATTCATTTAATTCTATCAAAACAGATTTTGTTATGAAAATATTAAAATTTTTAGTTACAAAAAATATTTGACCAATTAATGTTTTTTTATTTGATTTGCAACTACAAGAACAATTACCATAAAATAATTTAAATATAAATAATAAGTAACTCTGTTTATTGATGTTAACAAACTTGATAATACCAAACTAAAATACTGAAAAATTTACACCAGTACATTCAATAGTTTTTATTTCAGTCATCCTCATTTGAATAATTCAAAAACTGAACAACTCATTACTGATTGGAACTACATAATTACAAATCAGTCTGAATAACTAGAACAAATACACGAACATTTAAATATATGTAATTTTAAAAAACTGAAATTAAATTAAAATATAAAAATTATATACCTGATATCTGGGCAAAAGTAACTGAAATTGAAACAGAAAAATACAAATAATTTACATGAATAAATAAAAGTGTTAAAAGAACAGGGCTACAATCAGCCAAAAAAGTCAGTACTTAACCCAAAAATATCAACCAGCAGAGCATTACAAAAGCAATGTATAACTCAACTAAGTAGCTTATAAAGGGATATCCAATGTTCTGGGAGTTCTACTGTAGGATGATTACATGACTCATTGCTGGTAATACATAACACTTCCAATATGTGACACAGTTTCTGGTTGGTAACTTTACATTGATGAACAAGCCGTGTTTGTAAGAATCCCCAAATGGACTCAAACAGATGATAAGGCAATCCTGGACAAACTCCATCACATATTTGGTCTACTTTACATCTTTCTGATGTTCTTTGATATAATAAGCTAACATCCTTAACATTATACAAATGTAAGAAATGCAAGTACTTGCAGAAATCCAAGTTGTGCTCTTGTCCAAGTAGATTCCCAACTTTTCTAGTAAATCTAAAAGATTGCCATCATTGCACAATAAATGACAAAGATTTGGTTGAGGTGTAATTGGGACTATATACTTAAATACATTAAAGAGGCATGCCACGGCTAAAGTAACATTAACCAAAAGAAGAAATAGGGCTTCCCACAAACTCTCTTTTTTTTAACTAAAGTCTGTCAATGTAAAGAATCAACTTGAGAACCAATGAGCATTAGTCATTCATTGCTTAGTTGAGGAAGAAAATGGAAGTAACTTGTCACATTTGTTAAACATGACACCACTATTATAAATAGTGTTATTGAAGCTTTGAATCCTGGTATAAGAATATAAGGAACTTTGCTACAGCAGTAGTTAAATGCATGACTTTTTACAGTTAATGTTATAAAAAAAATTAACACAATATGAAAGAAATTATTATTTTGTCACACCAGATTTTTATCAGATAAAAATTTGAGATCACTGTGTTTTGGCATTAATAAAGTTTTGATGAGTGAAGCACAAAAATAAACTCAAAATACCTCACAAACACTTTTGACATGTGTAAAATGCCCTCTTCAGGCAAAATAAAAACGTATTTTAGAACAATGATATAAATTTTAACATTAACATTAATATGTTCTAATTAGAGTGCATGTGTTATTTTTAAATGTTCAATGTTAATTTGTACTATTAGTACATGTGTTAAATTTAAATGATGCACTATTAAACTTATACATTTAATTAATTGTCAAATTGAAAATTAGTGGCAGCTGGGATTTAATACTTTAAATTATTAAATACTAAAACCCATATTTTTGGGAGCTCTAGAATGGGCTTATTACAAGGATCCAAATTTCTCAATAAATAATAATAAGCCCACTCTAGCACTCTCAAAAATATGGTTTTAAGTATTTAATAATTTAAAAAATTAAATCCCAGAAGCCAATAATTTTCAATTATAGTTTGACCGTTAATTAAATGCGTAAGTTTAATAGAGCACAATTTAAATTTAACATGTGCGTTCCAACTAGTACAAATTAATGTTAAACATTTAAAAATAATGCATGCACTCTAATTATATAATTAAAATTTATATCAATGTTCTAAAATTTGTTTTTGTTTTGCCTGAAAAAGACATTCTATACATGTCAAAAGTGTTTGCAAGGTATTTTCAGTTTATTTTTATGCTTTACTCATCGAAACTTTATTAACATCGAAAGACAGTGATATTAAACTTTTAGCAAATTAACACAATTAACGGAAAAGTCATTCTACCATGTAGTGAGAGAAAGTAAAATAAAATTCACATATTGCCTGATATATTGAGCAAAAAGCTCTGACATTATTAGTGAATATGCTGACTGATTTAACTGAATGACATCAATGTGACATTGCTCTCAAGTCAATTCTTTCCACAGAAACAAAAAACTAAGCTCAAATGGTCTATGTTTGAAATATATAGACTCTTTGAGACTGAGACAATATATTTTAACTCTACCATTATTCATTAGAAAAAGTAAAGAATGGTTCTACAGCAACCTTTTTAAGTGCGAAGTGTCAAAACTACAAACTTCCTAAATCTATGATGCAAAATTTTCTCGTGCGCCAACTAAAATTTTTGGAAGCATAGAATTATTTGGTGTCTTTTAAGTATGGAAAGAACCTATTCAAATAATCAAAAATCTACATACATACACTCACACACACACATTGGGTTTGTAAAGTATATATATATATATATACTTTACAAACCCAATGTGTGTATGTGTATATATATATATATATATATACAGTAATACCTCGACTTACACTACCCCAACTTATGTGAAGCCAGAGTTACGCGATTTTCAAATGTTGTCGATTCGTCTTTTGTTTGAGCACTAAGCAACTCTCGATTACTCAATCCCCCACACTATTGTTCGGCTTACATGTTCAGACATGTCGCGTGGAATCGACACAGCCACAATTTATTTTGTGTTATTTATTTCTGTGTTGGTTATATCTACGGAGACTTGAGAGACTCTATGTGGTGATTTCTTGTAACCGTGAATGAATCAAAAGATGAGATAAGATTAACGAGAACATTTATTAGCTTACATACATCCGACTTGGGTTTTACACAAATTGCGAAATTATACCCTGACTTACGTGGTTATCGCCCAGTTCCACCTATCGCGTAAGTTTGGGGTATCACTGTATACTTTAGAAAACCCAATAAATTCTTTGTGAAACAAAAAAACATATAAAATGTAATAATATAAATTAATGGTAAAGAAATCACTCCATATCTGGCTGCTTGATGAATGATGCAAAAACTAATTGAGATAAACCTTGTAAGTCACAATATCTTAGAGATAGACATCATGAAAATATCTTGTTTCATTCTCTTATTATTTATTATTACTAAAACAGATGACAGCGTTTGTTTCTTTATTGCATTTTTATTTAATATTACTCTACTCAATAAAACTGCATGCTATTAAATTATAATATTACAACTTGCCAAAAATGGCAAGTTGTATATTATAATTTAATAGTTGGATATTTTAAAGAAAAAATTTCTTTAATGAAATTTTATGAAAAATATCCAAAGTCACATAACTTTTATTCAATTTACATAACTATAGGTGAGGAAGTAGCCTATAAGAAAAAATCAACTAGGCCAATGTGAATCATGTTTCCTGTGATTGTCAAAAGGATGACAAGACTACAAGAATCTTTTTATTTGTATAAGTCTTTATTATTTGTATTTTTTTAAATGCCTTAAAATACTAGATATTTTTTAAAATGAGTTTTTCCTGTGTTCCTTGAATATTTGTCTTTTAATGAGGCAAAACTCATAAGATGAGTATTCGAGGAGTACAAACTGCAAACATTGGAAATATTTCAGGCAACCGTAAAAGGAGAGTGCATTAATAATACATCATGCAATATTGTTCATCACCTAGCAAACATTATTTGATAGCACTCAAAGAAGTATGAAGGGACACAACACGCAATAAAACCAAAACACAAACTCAGTTATATGTATTATTTTATAGTCTCATAAAAAATGTATGGTGATTTGTGGTTTAATACAAAAACTAAAAGGATTGTTTTGTTTTACTTTCAACTTCTTAACTATCTTCATTACTTAATATTTGAAAAGTTAAATTAGTTTTTAACTTTTAAATTAAGAATGTTCATAAAATTAAAAATTTATTTTATTATTAACAAATGCACTGTAACACAATTTCCATATCGTTACTTCAATTATGAATTTGTATGTCTTAAAAAATAAAAAATTACACAACTTAAAACTCAGTAATTCTTGAATAAAACAAATTTCTGTTTAAATATTTAAATAGTTAAGTAATTACTTCATTAGCTACAAAGGTAATTAATGTATCTTACCTATAAGCTGCTAAAAGTGGAGAAAACACAGAACCTCCATCAAAGATGTAGAGATGGTCCCAATTACATTCTGTTTTTAAATTAATTATTTGTAATCTGATAGTACTATTTGGTTTATTACTTTCAATAAGCCATGTACATTGCATTTCGACAGTATAGTTTCCAACTCCATCAGTAATATATCCTGAGCTTTCTGTAAGTCTAAGAAAAACAAAACACAAGTTTTAACATCACATTTTACATACATTAGATTAATATATTAATATTAATAAAATAAAATAAAATTATTGCATATGTTTAAGGGTACAGTATAATGATAAGCAACTGAATATAATTTCAATAATGTTGGCAATCTGATTTGCAAATTAATGACAAGTTGAATGAGTTTATGCTAAAAGGAAATATAGAATCATAATATATATTAAAGATAATAAACAAAACATCTGATTTCACAAATACTATTGCAACACTATTGACATAATGGATTAACAAAGAGTGCAACAGCCCAGTAATGCAGACTGTATCCCAAGATATCATGGTCAGCTAAAAAATAACTTTGATACATGTGACACAAACAGTTTATTTAAATATAGCAGAAATAAATAATACATTTTCAAGTCAGTATTAAACATTAGCTACCATCAAGCTACATAACCAATATTCTACACATACTAACAGTCTAATAGTCATAGTCTGATATTCTCAAATATTGCATTTTCCTTCCAACAGACACCTTCAAACAGGCAAGTTTAATCTTTTTATTCTAAAAACCATTATAGCATGATCTGTAAAACTGAGGGTCAACAGTAATCTCTTAGAAAAATAGTAATTTTTATAAAGATGACGTAACGCAGGAAAATTATATATTTTTATGCAAGTCTTCTATAGCTTCAGTAATTTTTATATATGACTACATATCTCTCTGACATTTTTTTTACTTAAAAAATAGCTTAAAAATTACAAAAATAGTTATTTCTATAAGAGCAATTTTTCTGTAAGCTGAGAAGTAATTATTTGTAAATCTCCAAGTTTACTTCATTAGAGTTATAAAAATAAAACTTCCATTCATAATAAATCTACCAAGTACTTTTGAATTCATCTTCTGGGATCATATTACTGAAAATCACTTCTCAAATCCATCAAAAAGCTATGAATTTATATTTTCGCAAATGTTTTTTTGTTAATGCATTACCCTGAAAAACTTATTCAGTCTAAAAGGACTTCAGAGAGTTGCTATAAAAGGAAGTTACTAGTTTTTTGACTCCAATATAGACTTTTAAAAATTTATAAAAAGTTGGAGTATTTCTTAAACAAGTAGCTGTTCGAATAACTTAATCATCATCATTTCTACTTTCTTTGTGAACAAAATGGGCTATCTATTTGCTTAATTCCTGATTAGACAATTGCATATCACCAAAAAGATTTAATTTATTTATTGTTACTGATATATAATAACTACTGCTAAAATTATTGAATTGCATAATAATTATAAATAATCAAAATAAATCATAATGTACATATTCATCTTTAAAATATTTAATTTTTAAATAATTAAAGTCAGATTTATTGGAAAAATCAATAAATTTTTATAACATTTCCCTTCATTCAGTACTTAATTTAAGTAATTATTATTAATCTAAGTTTTAGCAATTACAAAATGTAAATTTAAATCTCTGGATTATTTTTAGACTATATTAAGGACAGCATAGTTAATTATTTATTAAAATTTTGTCCAAAGTGATAGCGCTCCAATTAACTATTTAAAATTAACCGAGTTAATTTTAAGTAATTTTTAAAAATGCTGAAAGAAAAGATTGATTCAAAATGAAAACCTAAACTCATAATCCCTGCATATCAGAAAAACACATTTTAGCAATCAAAAAGCAAATACTATATCAAACGTAATATTTTCATTATCACCATTTAAAATTTAGTATTATTCTTTGCTTTTTACTTTATTTTGATAATTAAGATAAATGCCTTATAATATTTAATTTTGTTTAATATTTTGCATATTCTTTAATATACTTTATACAGCATGTTTCAAGTAACATGACCTTGCCTATATAACTTTCACTTGATGTGAACAGGTTTTAGTTTAAAATCATAAAAAGTTTCATTTGAATGAACTTCCAGCATATCAAATTTTAAACAACAGACAAAATAGACAACAATTTAAATCATTTCCTATCATCTGTTTAATCTAAAAGTAACAATGAAATATTCAAAACATTGATTTTGCAGATCCTTTTGTCAGTGACTACATCTACTTTAACAGTATTAGATTACAAGCACTCAACCATTAAATGCTCCTAAGCAAATAAAACTCTGATATATCACAATGCACACATTTGATAAAACATCCTATTAAATCAATACAAATAGTCACTTTTAAACACAGTGGAACAAAACTCAGATATAATTTAACCTTGGTTTTATTGAACTAGACCAGTGATGGCGAACCTAAGACCCATGGTCAGGCACTGACTTAAGCAGGCTTTTTAAATGACCCACGTGCTGATTTTTATGAACTTATTTTTTATATCATAAAAGAGAGAACAGACAATCAAAAATATTAAAAAAATATGCTTCCAACAGACACCTTCAAACAGGCAAGTTTAATCTTTTTATTCTAAAAACCATTATAGCATGATCTGTAAAACTGAGGGTCAACAGTAATCTCTTAGAAAAATAGTAATTTTTATAAAGATGACGTAACGCAGGAAAATTATATATTTTTATGCAAGTCTTCTATAGCTTCAGTAATTTTTANTTATATCCATATAAAACGAAATTCGAAACAATGGAGTTAACCAAATTTATGTGGCTAGGTATCCATGATTTAGAAATGGAATTAGTTGAATTTCAAAGCAGCATAGTGTGGAAAAATAAATTTGAAAACTTGCTTTCCAAAGTAGAAGGAAAAATGTTTGAAAGTAGTGCAGATAATAATGATCCCACACTAAAAATTGAAAATATTATATTAAACATATGGGATTCTTTACCAAATAATTTTATATCAATGAAGAAACTTGCTAATGCTCTTTTAACGATATTTGGGTCCACATATTTGTGTGAAAAATTGTTTTCTTCAATGAATTTTGTAAAATCTACCAATAGAAATAAACTTGGAAATGAATTGACTGCAAAATGTGTTAAACTAATAAATATGGAATATGAACCTAATATTAAGAAACTATCTGAAAATAAACAACAACAGATTTCTCATTAAATATACTTCAACTTTATTATCAACTTTATTATACATACGCATACCTATAACTATATACAGTAGAACCTCCATTATCCGGACCTCTGTTATCCGGATTTTCGATTATCCGGATTGTTCAAAATAAACAAACATTTTACGAATTTGCTGATTTGTACTTGGCGAATTACGATACTGTTTATGTACGTGATGGAGTGCATAACTTTTTTTGTTTCTACAACGTCTCACCCGGCACAGTGGCCGTAAACTCTTAAATATATTTTACGTAGTAATAAAAAACTTGACATACGTATTTATAAATAATTTATATTCAAATCACATCGTTTCTATGACCAAGGGCGGCGTAAGGCATGGACGACGTGGGCCACCGCCTATGCCTCGCGGTCCGAAGGGCCTCGCGCTTCGAAGGTTAATGCATTACTTAAAAGCCGTGAACGCGACGAAAAAATTTTACTCGTCATAAAACGATAAATAGTTTGTCAAATTTTTATTCATAAAAATGCAGTTTCAACTGCTTTTTATTTTATAAAATCCGTCTTCTTGCGCCACCAGAGGGCCTTTTAAACAATAGGTAGTCTGTTAGCGTTGGTCAGTAGTAGTCCAAATTCAATACGAACGTTTGTTTCTTGAAAATTTGATCACGATTTAAATACAGTATTTACTTTTAATGTTACCGATATGTCATCGAAAAGAAAACGTGTTGTATTATCATTAAAAGACAAATTAAAGTATTTGTTTCGATTATCCGGATTTTTCCTTATCCGGACTACCTTCATCCCCAATTAGTCCGGATAATCGAGGTTCTACTGTATATTAATAAATAATATTTCATAATATATATGTGATTTTCTTTATTCCTTGTTCATTCAAATACTCAGTGCAGGAGTGACTGCTGACTGGACATGGTGTCACTTTGAGTGGTAATTCATAGTATCACCCCATTGATATAAATTTTTTTTAAATCAACCTTTATTTTTTGCTCTTCACTTGCAAAAATAAAAGTTGTAAAACAAAAAGGAAACGTAAACATTTTAGAGAATTTTAAAAGTGCGAACCAAAAAACAGTAGTTTTTTTTAATTAATCATCCTTCCCCCTTTCCAAGTGACGCCACTGACTTAGTGACCCACGAACTAGTACTAAAAAACATAATAAACAAAATTTGACCCACTTATCAAAAAGGTTTGCCATCACTGAACTAGAGTCCAGTCCTGGCAAATCTGCTATGCTCTTAATGCATTTTTCATTGGATATACTGAATATAACCAGGTTATAATGGAAACTCAATTACAGTAAACTGCCTCCAGTGAACTCAAAAACACCTGGTAAATCTGCTCCTTTTCTTAGAAAAGATCTGTTGTTTACTAAGAAATATAGTACTATATCAGTTCCTGGTATCAACATAACTGATAAATCATATTCCTCATTAACCTAAAATTCTTCACTCTTTCGTATTCAGTTACATTTGCAGCTTTGACAACAATCTTGCTACAGAAGGAGTCCTTACAGATGAATAAATTTTGTGATCAGTGATTGCCCCAGAAGAAAAAAATGGAGTAAGATGAAGAGGAAGAAAAAGAAAGTGATGAGTCTGAAGCAATTGTTCCTATTCCAAGTACTGAAGAGGCCAAAAAGACATTGAAAATAATAGTAATGTGGGGACTTACCACTCTTCAAGAAGAATCAGATTCAGATATATTTTCAAACAATATTTGTCAATTGAAGAAAGTACTAAATGAAAATCTCATTAAGATAGGACTTGGCCGGCGTAGCCATCTTCAATATACTGTATTTCAAAAAACTGGGTATTTAATTATATGTAATAGACATCTTCAGGTATTAACAATATCGAACTATGAAGATGTCTATTACATATAGATGAAAACGTTCGTAGAAAGAATTTTTCTGTTTGCTTATGAACTGGATATGGTTTATTTGGTGAGTCTTATATAATCTCATTAAGAATTATAAACA